TGGTCAATTTATTTCATGTAAAATATTTTTTTTGAAATTTTTTGTAGATTCGCCTATTTTTTTATGAACACACACTCCAAATTTCATATCATTCCAATTTCTTAAAAAAAAAAAATACTACCGAACAATCGTGACCGTGCGATGAATTTTGGACAGTAATGAGGGTAGGCAAAATCACTGTATATTTTTGCCTATAGGTGTTTTGTAGTATCTTCCAAATATATATATATATAATGTGTGTGTCACAAGATTCAAGAAAATTTCTTTTGAACTTTGTGCTTGGTCAATGGAATAAATGTAACCACCCAATTTCACATCTAAAAGACCCAATTTCACATCCAAAGGTCAAGATTAATTGTGACCACCTTATACTAAAGATAAATAATAAAAAATAAAGGTATAATTTAATAATAGTATCCGATACTCTTAATGAAAACTGGTTGCAGAATCTCTTTCGATCGCATTCGAGTATAGTGTCTGATACTGCAATGCCTCTTTTTAACCGTGATATGCAAGGAGCTACCATTGACATCAGTCTGAAAGGATCATGAAAGTTTTCAATAACTTCTTTTCGATGAAGCCCAACTAGCAACAATTTCCATGATCTACAGCTTTGCATTTTGTTCTTTCCAAAAATGCCAAAACACAGTTGCTTTTAATGGGGACAGGAAGCATAGTTAATTACAATCCAAGGATACCGGCTTCACGAAAGGGGTCAGGGTCAGGGTCGTGGTGGTAGCACCCCTACCAAGACCCTAATCATTACGTTGTAGTTTCTATTTCCAGTGACATGCTCTTTTTTTCCAAAAAATTTATACAAAGTATCAATCTTGTACTGTAGAAGTAAAGTGCACATCAAAACCCATCGAATAATATTGTTTCATTATTAGAAAATTCTCCAATTGATTATCTTAACCTCGATATGCATTTTAAGTCTTAGAAATAGCACATCTTGCTGCACATTATCTACACCGTCCATTTTTAAGATTTATAAGTGTTTATAGACATGCTAGATCTACATCATTTTTTGAACTTTCAATTTCATAACAGCAGTGAAAAATAGACCCTCAGGTCATGATAGCAGTTTCAGCACCGAAAATATATCTTGTAATAAGATTTTGAATTGTACCTTACTGTGATTGTTTAAGGTTGACACCTTGTACAAACCTCACCCATTAATAAAAGGTGCAGATAGCTTAAAGTTGTGCCTTATGATGACAAGTAAATCCACACCTCAAAAACCCACCAAGAAATGCAGCTTTGATGCCAGAAGGTCCTTTAATAACCTCAAAATCTCATTAGAATTTTAAAGCTCCAAAAATGGTGTTTGACATATTTGTGAACCCTAGAAAATGGACAATCCGAGACACACATCACATGATACAAGCTTCGTAATTCTGGAAATGCACTGTTTCGTTTTTTTTTTTCATCCCTAGAAGAAGAGTTAAAATGATCATTTTGATAGTTCAAAGCCTGTTTGGCTATACACTCTTGGCTAAATACATTCTAAATAAAGTATGTAATGGGTTTACCCATTTTGTCTGCAAGAAGAAATGATAATCTCACAACCGGGCCCTTACGGCCTGCCTGGATATGAGAGAGAGAGAGAGAGAGAGAGAGAGAGAGTGGGGGGAGGGTATAG